TACGTCAGATTCGCAAAATCGACGCAAGACCAGTCAATGGACGGACGGGACCGCTCTCGACCAGCATCATCACAGATATGTATTGCTAGCAGCTAAAATATCGACTGCGCTAGTCTTATTGATAACCTTTCCTTTATGGAGAAAGTCGTCAGAGCTCTTCAGTTGCATCGTCGCTGTTCTCGCGTTACTGTGGTCATACTCATCACCCCCTTTCCGACTCAAAGAGCGACCAGTCCTAGACTCACTATCGAACGGAGCAATATGCTGGCTTTTCTGGGCTTGCGGCTATATCTTCGATGGAAACGCAACATTCGTCTCTTCTGTAACTACTTCAAAGAGCGGCTGGCTTATCCTACTATATAGTTCAGCTCTGCACAGTATGGCCGCGATGGTAGATGTGGACGCAGATGCCTTTGCAGAGTATCGTACTATTGCGACAGTCTACGGGGAGAAGTTCTTAGCAATGTTCTCTCTTACTTGTTTGTAGGTATTCCTCTAGGTACGCTTTCAACACTAATAGGTCTTTTTATATCTAGTTTGCTTACTAGTTTTACGATAAATCTATAGTCTAAAGTTAGTATGGCCATCTACGTAGGTGTCTTCACTACTTTCTTACTTATACTTATGCCCCAGGCGAAGCATATCTTAACGAGAGCTGCTTTTCTAGGCTCTTATGCTGGCGCTATTATATAGACGGCTAAAAAGCTCTACGTAATTATAAGAGGTTAAAATGTAGTTAGAACTTAGTAAAAGGTTATATAGACGAGTAATGCTCCGCACGCCTGTTACTAGTATACACATCGATCTTATAGATAGTTATATTCTTCTTTCCCTCTTTAATAAGCTGCTCTACTTATTTCAATAACGCTAAACGTTTATTACTATACGCCAAGATAAAGGGAGAAGCGCGTTTGAGCCACCAAATAAAATGGTATCCCAATACGCGACGCAGAGTGCCCTTCCCCGAATTAAAAGTGATGCCGCTGTCTTAGTCCTCCACCTATATACTATCACTATTCGAGTATATATTAAGCACGAAAGCTATTATATTTAACTCGCCATAACATCGTCGGAGCCATTATCGTGCGTAAAAGTCCTGTCGTAGTATGGCGGGGTAACGCTTTATAAGTAATAGTGAGGTGACTCGACACGCGTTTTAATTATATGCCCTTGGCGCACCTAACATTATTCTATTCTTAAGTAGGGTTAGAAAACTTCAGAAGGCGTCAAAGACTAAAGACTAATAGAACGTGCCAGAAGAACATATTATATAACTAAACAAAGTAAAGGTCACGTAAATATATTTTAGATAATAAAGCTGGGCTCATTAGTACGCTAAACTCTCATCACGAATCTTGCGAATCGTTTTGGCGACGGAGAAACTTTCTAATCACCACTATAGAGCATTATCTAGCATGTTAAGAAAAGTATCTAAAACTACGCCACCTAGAGCATCTTTCAATATCTCTGATAACGGGATTTAGGGCAAGATAGTTGCGTAGGTTAAGGCGCCAGTTGAGGCACGAAATCTCGCCGCTAGTGTATTAACGTTATATAGCCACACTACCGCGTATTTTTCTATCGAAGCATTGGTGATATGTGGGGACATATGTAAGTAAAAATAATAAGAGGTTGTGAATATGTTTCTATAAGTTTTTCCGCCTCTTATCTACTTGCGTAAGCAATGGTGTTCCGCCACACCGGTTGTTCCGTTACGAAGGGATGCACGTTAAACATGATGCATTCTTTTTCTCGTTTATCCTTCAAATATATATATATATGCAATTGTGATCTATATGTGCAACAAGATTAACAAAGTCATAAAAAAACAACATCAACAACATTGGCATTCGTAACCACCATGACAGCCAAATTCCCCAGACTCGAAACCTTTTCCCATCCCTCATGACACAGCATATCTACAGTAAATAACCCATCATCCAAACCAATGCGAACCCCAAATTTAGCCAGGAAAAAAAAAGGGGAAATTCATCAGTCTCGAAGGCCCAAAAAAAAGAAAAAGAAAATTGAACAAAGAAATCACACGATGAAGCCAAGGCTCAAAACCCACTACCCATCCATCTATGCAACGCCCACTCTAACTATGCCTTTCATTCACCTTACCCCCCCTAAAAAAAAGAAGCCTATGCAACACCATCTAATCCTCGTTTTTTTTACCCTCCCCAGCCACCTACCTAAACATATCCGCCCAAACCCTCAAAACCAATAACTCTCCCCCGACCGACTAACTTCAAACAAACACCCCAGCCCCTTCCCCTGCTCCTGCAACATCATTTCCCCTTGCCGCAACTCACTCAGAATCGTGTCGCCGACGAGCGGGCCATCCGTAAACGTATCTTTGACATGTATAATGACGACCTTGAGGCCCTTGAGCGGCGAGTCAAAGGCCGCAGAGAGCATGGCGCGGCTGTGTTCTGCGGAGACGTTTGAGAGGTTGAGGGCTGCGGGGGCGGAAGGGTGGGAGGAGGTGTGAGGACCAGCAGTAGCAGCGTTGGGTTCGTTGCTAGTATTGCCGGCATGGTCCGGTGCGAAGGCTGCGGGGTTCGGCGTGTGCGTTCCCGTGTCGCCTCTTGAGGCGGGGAAGTCTGATAGCGCTTCGTCGTCTGTCTGGGGGTTGACTGCTGAGATGGGGGAATCGATGCCTTTGCCGACGCCCATGTAGTTGATTCGTGGTTTGCGTGCGTCTGGGGATGCGAGGCTGTCGAGTTGTAAAGGGCCGCTTGCGCGTTTTCGCTTCTTCTTCATGCGGAGCTCTTCTTTGCCTCGTTCGTGTGCTCGCTTCTTCTCTCGTACCATCTCGGCGAGGACACTGAGCTCTTCTAGTAAATGGCGGGGCGCCAGATGTCCGAAGAGGACTGCGTCGCCTCGTGCGTTGGTGTATGAGACTTCAATGAAGATTCCCTTCAAGATACCGGCAGCTATCTTTGGAGCGGCTTCATTCCAGATTTGAGCGTTACGTGGGGTTAGGGACAAAGAGTCTGGCTCTACATCGCCAAAGATGAGAATCTCACGTTTAGGCGTTGTAAGGGTAGATTCTGCACGGATGAAGTAGGCTGTTGAATCAATCACACATTCGTCTCTCATTGACTGCTGTGGTTGCGCGACCGTCATGCCACTGGTTCGTCGGCTTAGTTCGGTACCTCCGTTAAGACTTGGTGTACCTGGGGCACTGTGTGCGGCGCCCGGTATGCTCATGGAGCGGCCGTCATACCCATCTACTTGCTGAGTTGATTGCTGAGTGCCTTGTGTCTCCAGGAGATTGATAGTTGAACCGCGATGCACGTGGCCCGCTCCTTGCATGCAGTGTCCATGGCTTACTTTGAACCCTTTGACACCGAGACCATCGCAGACTTCAATATAGCCTCTTGAGCTTCCTTCGCCTAGTGCAATGTTCCCACCCTCTGCAAGTCTTTGGAAAGTCACAAGGCCAACCCCGCCATCTTCGTCTGTGAGATTGGGCCAAATGATGTTGTTGAAGATATGGGTCTTGATAGCGTTGACTGTAAAAGGCAATGCAGCTAAACGCTTTGGTCGCGATGTATTATGGAAAGCTGCTGTGTTTATCACAAAGCCCGAGAGATGGTCTAAATGCGGATGCGTGATGAGGTATGTTGACACATGCTCTCTCATAATGTGCAGCGCATTTGCCCTAGCACTCTGGCAAGGAAATGGCAGTCCAGCAAAAGCACCTTTGTCTAGTGTCGTTATGGTAACCGACATCTCACTCTCTGACATGGGTGTATGAACGTCGGATTCATCGTCCGAAGGCGTAACGTGCGTCGTGCCCGGAGATGGAGAATCGGTCTGGTCGTTAGTAGCGGCACCATTACTGTTTCGAGAATTTGGTAGAGGCGGATCTGGGTCAGAGACGAGCGGAAAGTCTTTTGCCAGAATGTTGGTGATAGATGCAAGATGAGACCCTGCATCTACGGCAATGACCGAGTTCTTCGCCCAGTTTGTGGCCGTAGAACGTACAAGGAAACCGGTGACATTGTCTTCGCTTGGTCCACCGCCTGAGCCCTGTTGATGTCAGTCTTGATCTGGACGAAACGCTCCTATGGTGAGTGCAGTCTTTTTCGTGAACCCAAACCCCAGATGAGAAGCACGGTGCCGATACACCAGGAACTACGGGTATTTCCTGAACTGACTCACCAAACAGATTACCTGAATCGCAGGTTCATTAGAGTGTCCGGAAGACTTCCGAACCACCCTTCCATCATCTTCTCTCATACCCACAGTGATGACGCGTCTCTCGCAACCTTCTTCCGTCCTCTTTCGCAGTAGAAAGGATTGTGTCGTCTAGATTTCGTAGCTCTTACACGGCTGTTAATCCCAAACCTCGGCTTCAAGCTGCCTACACGGTCGGCCTTCCTCTTAATGCTCTAGCTCCGATAGGTGACCGGTAGCGTTTCACACAAGAAACAAGATGACAATCGAAGATTTGTTGGAGTCGCTTCAGATTCCCGTGGTGCGTTTTCGATGAGTTGCTGGTGCTTCTGTTGGTGTTTGCAGATGCAAATAATTACGTTTTTTTCCTTTCTCTCTTCTCGTTGCGATTGTGGGTGACTTATTGAGGCGCAGCAGCAACCCTTGAAGGCCGGAGTCTGGGTCCTGATCGCGGCGCTTTATCGCGCAATTCTGTGACAATTGTTGCACAGCGTGTATGACCGGCCGCACGAGTCACCAGTAGCTGGCGCAGGGAGGGGAAGTCTGACAACAGCTCTTACACAGCCTATCTTCCCAACAGCCGGATTGTACCTCTACCCTTGTCCCTGTAGTTTTAGTAGCCGCTGTCAAACACGCCCAGCTCTTTTCTCAAGGGGGATCCTGCGAGTAAAAATGAACAAGTCGAAAAATGGCTGGTCGGGTGAAGATTGCCAGCTCAAGCGCAACAGGGAGCGGGAATGACAAAGATCACAACAGTCTTGGGATGCCCTGCGATGTGGTTTGGCGATCACCGACCAAGCCGTGTTTATCGCCGCGAAAAGGACCGCCGGTGCTATGGAGGACTGGGGTAACGACAACGCGTCGCTCTCAAGATTAGCCGTCGTGTGAGTATGTAGATAGCGCGAGATGTGTGCGCAGCGATTGTTGGCAGTACAAAGTAGGTGTTATAGTCCTCGGACTTGAAAGCGGACTCGAAGGCACAAAGACATGCATGTGTCTATGCGCCTGCGCCGTTCTTTCCAGCCTTCCTTTGGCGGTTGGCCCGGGTTATTCGCTCCTTGTTCGCCCTCAACCAATCGCTCGCGGTCCCAAGCCAAGCCACAGAAGCTGGCCCCGCCCTTGTCGAGCCCAGATCTGGGGATGTGAACGCCTGAAAGATCTAGGCGTAGTGACGGAATGTAAGATACACATCATGTTTAGCGATTGTCGTCTCGATGCGAGGTGAGACATGTCAAGGAATTTAAGTGGGGAATTCCCCAGGTCCAGCCAGGATGTCATCAGCAACAATGACTAGGGAAC